TATAAACCAGGATTAGATACCCTGCTATACTTAAAAGGGAAAAATATAACTTGAGTATTAGTAGCTATGGTCTTTAAATTCCAAGAATTTGGCAGTATTTTAGTCTTGTTAGAGGAACCCGTTCTGTAAACGATACAACACGAAGTATCTTACTCTTGTTTAACAGTTTGTATACCGTCATTATTAGATAACATTTATTGGGGAAGTTATTGAAATTTAGAAAGTTAACGTATATTAGATCAAGGTGCAGTTTATAACAATAAACTTTATTTATAAGTATCAGTGATTGAATAGTTTCTGTGAAGGAGGATTTAATTGTAACATACAATTTAGTAAGTTAGTGTGATATGAGAACTAAAATATGTACATATCGCCCGTCGCTTCCATTTAAGGTGGAATAAGTCGTAACATAGTAGGTGTACTGGAAGGTGTACCTAGAATTAAAATTTACTTTGGCAGAAAATATGAGTTAAATTTAGAATTTAATTATATAGAAAATATCCTATAAGTAAAAGCATTGGGATTAATGCTGTGATTGTTATAGTTGTAAGAATACAACAACAAATACCATATGAAAATACACTGCAAAGTCGCTGATTTATTCCAAAAAAATGGTCAAAGTTTTTTTTTTCTCATTATGCACTGTGTGCTGCAGGATTTTTTTTAGACTGTGCACACTGACCACATAGACCCATTCTTTCATATGTAGGCCTACCAGCTTTCTCCCACTAGATTTGAGGCCGCTAGAATTTATGCGTACTAGTACGTCAGAAACCCCTACGCGTAAGACGTACTAGTACGACCAAACCAAAGGTTAAATAATGGATGGGATTTACGTAAAGGTGAAGTCATAATTTTTGGGTGAACGGAAGGTTTAAGCTAATTTAAAAAAATATAGATGTAGATGATATTAGGAATCGAAGGTCTTACGTTGTTATTATAGTTTTTGTGGATTTTGAGGGGTTTATTTCGAATCATAAGCATTAACTAAAGTTTTATTAAGATTGGAATTTATTATATTAAATGTGTTTGGGGTTATGAGAGTTTTACATGGCCGGGGTTGGTTTGGAGAGTGTGTTTGTAATTTTTTTTTTTAGTTATGGTTGCGTGTGAAGGGCCTTTAGGTCAATCTTTATTGGTTTCTATTGTCCGTTCACATGGTAACGATTATTTTAGGAGATCTGGTATTTAATATGTTAAAGTTTTTGGTACTAAATTTAGTTTTGATAAGATTTGTGATGAATTGAAGGTTGATTCAGATTGGCTTGCTGGTTTTTAATGCTTTACAAGATTATTATAATAAATCACGATTTTTTTTTTTTTTTTGTAGGGGTTATATAATAGGGGCGATTATCTAGATACTTTTTGATTGTATTAAAGTTTGAATCGTCATGTTAATAGTTTACGGCAGAGTGACAGTAAAAAAAATTGGGAATTTTTATACCGGGTTCTTGTTAGTGAATTTTAAATTTTTGTTGCTAGTTTTTAATTTTAACTTTTAGGTCAGTAAATTATCTAATGTTTATATTAGAATTGAAAGGTCACTTGTTCCTATGCTTGTACTAATTTTAGGCTGAGGGTACCAGCCCGAACGAATTCAAGCCGGAATTTATATATCTTTTATACTTTATTTGCTTCACTGCTTTATTATTTTCTTTATTAAGGCTATATAAAAGCATGGGAAGACTAAACATATAGGATTGCAGGAAAATGGTTGGCTATCAAAGTGTCAGTGTGTTGTGTATTTTGCTCTGTATTTTCGTTTATAGTTAAATTACCTCTTGTTTATATTTCATTTATGATTACCTAAGGCCCATGTAGAGGCCCCGGTTGCAGGATCAATAGTATTAGCTGGGGTGTTATTAAAGCTAGGGGGGTATGGTTTGATTCGGGTTTTGAGAGAGTTTTCGGAGATTAATAAAATATTTTGTTGGGTGTGAATGAGCCTTGGGATTTTAGGAGGTGTTGTCATTACTCTGAGGTGTTTACGTCAGGTGGACATAAAGTCTTTAATTGCTTATTCTTCCGTAGCTCATATGGGTTTGGTGCTAGGAGGACTTGTTGCTATAAGAGGCTGAGGTTTAAATGGAGCTTTAGTAATGATGGTAGGACATGGTTTGTGCTCTCCAGGGTTGTTTTGTTTGGCAAATATAGTTTATGAACGCTTAGGAAGACGAAGCTTGATAATTAGGAAAGGTTTATTAAATATTATGCCAAATATAGGTTTATGGTGGTTTTTATTGGCTGTGGGTAATATAGCTGCTCCCCCAACCTTGAATTTAATAGGGGAGATCAGTTTAATCATTAGGGTGGTGAGATGAAGTAAATTAATTATATTTAGAGTAGAGGCACTATTTTTTTTAGTGCCTGTTATACTTTATACAGTGGACCCCCAGTTAATGGTCAAAATATAATATATGAGAAATATAGTGACCCTAGAATGTTGTTGTTCTGTCCTTGTGTATAGTGGTGGTGATATATGTGATGAATAGTGATAGTGGAAGATGTATAGAGATGGTGATATATGTGATGAATAGTGATAGTGAAACATGTATAGTGAGGGTAACAGACACAGTGAATAGTGAGATGTATAGTGATAGATTTAGTGAATAGTGATGGTGATATATGTGGTGACACTGGGAGATGCTCAAGTCCTAGTGTTTATATACTGACATTTACATATGATAATAATAATAATAATAATATTTTTAAAAAATAATAAATAATCACTAATTTTTCCCCTTATAACTCTTACGACTTAATGCTCTTAATCGAAAAATAAAACTAATTTTTGAAGAAAAAAAAAAAAAACACTTTACTTAAAGGGTATAAGGTTCTAGGATCAACAAAGTTCTATGGGATTGGGGCTTTGATGTTGACTTTGATGTTGGTAGCTGGGGGGCCTAGACTTGGAGGTAGCATTATCTTTGGGAGCTGGGAAGCTGGTCTTGGATGGAAAAGAAAGGGTGTTCCCCACTACCCAATTTCCCTTTAGTATTATAATGTTTTAAAAAACTTTTCTTTTTACCCAGAATTTGTGGTTTTCCATGTTGTTGTGGCATTCTGGACTGGTGGTTTTTACTTGGGGGTTTTTCATTATTATGAAATATTTGCTTGTCTGCTGGATTAACTTCTATTTTCTGTGGGGTCTCTCCATTTGGACCGTCAATACATGGCCGCTCAAACATCAGTGTCGTCTCTCATAATCTTTGTTTTCAAAAGTGGCAAAGCCATACCCACGATGACCTCTGACTCTTCGTGGCATCATGAATTTGATTAAAACCCCCGGATTTCTGCAGAAGCTGTTTTAAAAGTCCTGTAACTGCACAAAGCGGGCACATTGGCTATAAAAACTCCATAACCTGTAGGGATGGGGACGGTGATGGGTTTGGGCATGGTGATGGGTTTGGGGATGGTGATGGGGTTGGGGAGGGTATTGGGGTTGGGAAGGGGTGTTGAGGTAAACCCGCATCATCAGTGGTAGAGGTACTAGCTCACCGCTCACCACTGTGTTACTGGTGCTGTTAAGTGTTAGTGGCTTGAGAAGCCTGCTACGGAAGAATCGCCAGATGTAGTACAACACTCCTAACACTGTCCCAACGACCCACAGAAGAACCACCATCACCTGGGAGGATGAATTATCCTGGCAGGATTCTTTCATCTCCTTGAGGAGAATCTCCAGCTCCTCAACATCCTTGCTGGCTTGGTACAATCTAAAGATAATTCCCAGAAGAGGCCAGGAGTTTGGTGCCCACCAAGAGCTCACCTGCCTTCCATGGAGCTGTAAGGGGGTATAATTATCACAATTAAATATTATCCCCATCCCAGGGATCCCACAAATTTTCTGGGAAAATGATTCACAAGCCCAGGAGGCTTCCTGGACCTCCATTTGGAGTCGCATCCGGTCCTCTTCCAGCTCCAGGACCCACTCATCAAAATAATATAGTCCGACAAAAAAACGTGATAACGTACAACACCATACAAGATACATCAATTTCTTGTAAAAAATTTATTTTTTAAAGGGTTTCTTTTTAGTGTAACTAGGAAAGAAGATAATAATAATTTATAATATCTCCAGCCACATTAATGGTCAAAATAGAATATATGAGAAATATAGTGACCCTAGAATGTTGTTGTTTTGTCCTTGTGTATAGTGGTGGTGAATATGTGTGATGAATAGTGTAGTGAAAAATGTATAGAGATGGTGATATATGTGATGAATAGTGATAGTGAAACATGTATAGGTGAGGTAAAGACATAGTGAATAGTGAGATGTATAGTGATAGATTTAGTGAACAGTGATGGTGATATATGTGGTGACACTGGGAGATGCTCAAGTCCTAGTGTTTATATACTGACATTTACATATGATAATAATGATAATAATAATAATAATAATAATAATAATAATAATAATAATAATAATAATAATAATAATAATAATAATAATAATAATCACTAATTTTTCTCTTTATAACTCTTACGAGCTTAATGCTCTTAATCGAAAAATAAAACTAATTTTTTAAGAAAAAAAAAACACTTTACTTAAAGGGTATAAAGTTATAGGAATCAACCAAAGTTCTATGGGACTTGTGGCTTTGATGTTAACTTTGATGTTGGTAGCTGGGAAGCCTAGACTTGGAGGTAGCATGATCTTGGTAGCTGGGAAGCCTGGTCTTGGACGGAGCAAAAAGGGTGTTTACACTACCAATACCCTTTGTTTTTAATGTTTTAAAACACTTTTCTTATTACCCAGAATTTGTGGTTTTCCATGTTGTTGTGCATTCTGGACTGGTGGTTTTACTTGGGGTTTTGCATTATTATGAAATATTTGCTTGTCTGCTGGCTGAACTTCTATTTTCTGTGGGGTTTTCTCCATTTGGACCTGTCAACAAAACGGCCGCCAGTCAGGGCTGTCTTTTCATAATCTTTTTTTTCAAAAGTGGCAAAGCCATACCCACGATGACCTGTGAGTCTTCGTGGCATAATTTAATTGGGTTTTAAACGCCCGATTCTGCAGAAGCTGTTTTAAAAGTCCTGTAACTGCACAAAGCGGGCACATTGCCTACAAAAACTCCATACCCTGTAGGGTTGGGGACGGTGATGGGTTTGGGGACGGTGATGGGTTTGGGGACGGTGATGGGTTTGGGGACGGTGATGGGTTTGGGGATGGTGATGGGGTTGGGGAGGGTATTGGGGTTGGGAAGTGGTGTTGAGGTACCAGCATCATCAGTGGTAGGAGGTACTAGCTCACAACTCACCACTGTGTTACTGGTGCTGTTAAGTGTTAGTGGCTTGAGAAGCCTGCTACGGAAGAATCGCCATATGTAGTACAACACTGTCACATTGACCCACAGAATAACCATCATCACCTGGGAGGATGAATTATCCTGGCAGGATTCTTTCATCTCCTTGAGGAGAATCTCCAGCTCCTCAACATCCTTGCTGGCTTGATACAATCTGAAGATGATTCCCAAAAGAGGCCAGGAGTTTGGTGCCCACCAAGAGCTCACCTGCCTTCCATGGAGCTGTAAGGGGGTATAATTATCACTATTAAATACTATCCCCATCCCAGGGATCCCACAAATTTTCTGGGAAAAATGATTCACAAGCCAGGAGGCTTCCTGGACCTCCTTTGGAGTCCGCATCCGGTCCCTTCCAGCTCCAGGACCCACTCATCAAAATAATAATATAGTCCGACAAAAAAACATGATAATGTCCAACACCATGATGAGATACATCAATTTCTTGTAAAATTCCATTTTTAAGGATTTCTTTTTTAGTGTAAACTAGGAAAGAAGATAATAATAATTTATAATATCTCCAGCCACAGTAATGGTCAAAATATAATATATGAGAAATATAGTGACCCTAGAATGTTGTTGTTCTGTCCTTGTGTATAGTGGTGGTGATATATGTGATGAATAGTGATAGTGAAAGATGTATAGTGATGGTGATATATGTGATGAATAGTGATAGTGAAAGATGTATAGTGATGATGGTGATATATTTGATGAATAGTGAAAGACATATAGTAATGGTGATATGTGGTGAATAGTGATAGTGAAAGCTGTATAGTGATGGTGATATATGTAATGAATAGTGATAGTGAAAGATGTCCAGTGATGGTGATATATATGTGATGAATAGTGACACTGAAAGATGTATAGTCATGGTGATATACATGATGAATAGTGATTTGTAGTGATGGTGATATATGTAGTATAGTGATGGTGATATATGTAGTGTATAGTGATGGTGATATATGTATAGTGATATACATATAGTGATATATGTAGTGTACAATGTAGAATTATTGGGGCTGTGACTGAGGTGTATAAATGGAAAACAGGAATAAAGGGGATATAAATAATGTGGGCAAAGTACGTAACCAAGACAGAACTCACAGCCATGATATCAAGTTGTTAATATTTAGATTCAGAAAGGTTATAGGACAGCACTGGTTTGGAAATAGAGTTGTGGATGAGTGGAACAAACTCCCAAGTAGCGTCACTGAAGCTAAAACCTTGTGTAGTTTTAAAAATAGGTTAGATAAATATGTGAGTGGGTGTGTGTGGGTGTGAGTTGGATCTGACTAGCTTGGGCTAGTAGGACTGCTGTAGTGATCCTTCTTTCTTATGTTCTTAAGTCCCAAGGATGTTAATGGACATCTGAAAGACCATAATGACATCCAAGGATGGTAATGAAAATCCAAAGGACTCCAATGGACATCCCAAAGATGTTAATGGAAATCTCAAAAATCTTTTTGTGCAATTTTTTACTTGTTATATAACTAATAAAGATAGGGAAACTGTAATTTCGAGTATTGGGCAGGGAGGAATAACATCTTGTAGGAGTGAGGAAGAGCCAGTTGTGAGTGTGGGGGAAGTGCGCGAGGCAGTGGGTAGAATGAAACGGGGTAAAGCAGCTGGGATTGATGGGATAAAGATAGAAATTTTAAAAGCAGGTGGGGATATAGTTTTGGACTGGTTGGTGCTTTTATTTAACCCTTAAATGGTCCAAACGTATATATATGTTTTTTCAACATCTGAAAGTATGTAAAAAATGTAGATCTTTTTTGTTTTACATCTGAAAACATGTAAAAAAAACTTTTATCCACATTTTTTTTTTGTTATATTTGAAAATATGCAAAAAAAAGTAGATTTACTTTTGAAGCACTATGAATCTGAACGTCGATCTGTTTGGACCGTTTAAGGGTTAATAAATGTATGGATTTTACAGTGAACAAGATGCTCTGGTGTTGAGGACGCCCACCCTAATTCTGACTGGCTAAATTTTTATAAAATTATAAATGACACTTCGGTCTCCAAGATGCTGGGTAAATTTACGAGATTTAATTTGGAAAAAAAAAAAAAAAAAGCATCTTTGATGCTGTAAAATAAGGCACCTTCAATGAACAGCAGTTATTTGTAGATAATGGTTCACAGAACCGACAAGTTGATAAATTAGACATGTGCAACACTTGAGTATCTTTATTAAGGAAATGTTTCGCTGCACAGTGGCTTCATCAATCCATACAAAGGAGAGCACTGAAGAACAGGAGGGGTTTGATTACCTCAAACTCCTCCTAATTTATCAACAGCAGTTATTTGCCTTCTCGTTACAATTTGCGAACACTGAAAAAACAAAGAGGCTTTGGTATATAATATACACAAATGGTGTTTTACCTTGGGGATAGTTGAGAGGAGTCCCTCCAACCGCTGAACAGTGACTCTGGGGTTGGCTCGCAACGCGTCGAAGACGATGCGGATGTTCTTCTTGGTGGTCTCGGAGACGGTTCGATGGTTGCCGGACGCCAGGAGTGCACTGCCAGACTGGAAGAACGAGGACAGTACACCCCCCATCACGCCAGCTCCACCTCTCTGTACGCACACACTGCCTGCAATCACAGAAACATCTGAATCACTAAGCTTCACTTGTGTATGCACACACTGCCTGCAACTGTACAAAACATCTGAGTCACTAAGCTTCACTTGTGTACGCACACACTGCCTGCAACTGTAAAAAACATCTGAGTCACTAATCTTTGCATCTGTATACACACACACTGCCTGCAAGCAAGACTGTTCAACTGATTCCCAGAAGACATAAAGGGGATTATCAATAGACCCCTGGCTGTCTTCAAGAAGGCACTGGACAGGCACCTAAAGTCAGTAGCTGACCAGCTGGGCATTGGTTCTTACATCGTTTTGTGTGCGGTTAATGGTAACAGCCTGGTTGATCAGATCCTGATTTACCACGAGGCCTGGTCTCAGACTGGGCCACAGGGGCACTGACCCCCGAAACCCTCTCCAGATATACTCAAGGTAAGCACACAAAACATATGAATTACTAATTTTAGCTTCTGTACACACACACTGCCTGTAATTAGCTTAATTAAGAAAGACAGCAGAGAGAGGGATGGGTAGACTGCACCATCTTGGACTGTATGAAAGCTTTCGACACAGTACCACACAAGAGACTGGTTGAAAACCTAGAGGAGCAAAGTGCAAAGTCATGAAGCAATCTCTTATACATTCATACCTGGAGTTTACCTGGAGAGACTTCCGGGGGTCAACGCCCCCACGGCCCGGTCTGTGACCAGGCCTCATACCTGGCTAATAATACGGCAGGTTAGGTTTCAGACCACCGCAATAAAGCAAACATTGCTTGAAAGCGAATCACAGCCTTTTTTTTCACTTGCCAGTACACATAAAATCCTAAAAACAAGTTTACACAATCATTTATTAACTACACAATAGCACTAAGCCTAAAAAAATGCACAATAAAAATAATAAATACAAAAAAAAAAATTTAAATTGGCAAAAACCAGCTGGACAGCAAGGCAAGTTCTGAAAATAATTAATGTGAATATAACTGAACGAGGGATGTTACAGTTGCAATTTTGAAACTGTAGTGTAAGTGTGCCTCTGGCAAGACAGTGATGGAGTGAATGATGATGAAAGTTTTTCTTTTTTGGGCTGCCCTGCCTTGGTGAGAGATGACTGTTGTGCTAATAAAAATAAATAATTGAAGAACACCATATTAGTGAAGTGGTCTAAAATAAAGCGCCATAAAGTGAGGTACACCTGTAAAGCCATTGTGTATAGAGCATTTTTTGTAAATGCAATTGAAAAAATTCTTAGTAAGCTTAAACAGGCAGATGCCACTTATGACTCTACCTGGGTTCGTCAGTTGAGAACCCAACAATGAACCAGGGTTCAACCCTAGAGAGGCAGATACAGTAAATAGGTACCTGGGTGTTAGTTAACAACTGTGGGACATATCTAGCTTACAAATTTAAAAGTAAAAAAAAAAAAATAAATGACATACTATTAATATACAGTGAACTCTGTATAGAAAGGACTTTCAAAATTTCAGGCAATAGCAGCTGGTTAAATTGTACTTTTACTGACTTATTATTAAAATATATTCCAGTACATCAGTCAACTGTGTGTACAGTAGTACATCAGATGTACAATAGAGTACTTTACTGAACACCCATACTCTGATATAATGGACACCCTGTTAGTTCATTATATTGAAGGCTCACTGTAACTACAAATCGATCATTAACAATACAGCCTCTCCTCACTTAACGACGGAGTTCCGTTCCTAAGACCACGTTGTTAAACGAATTCGTCACTAAGTGAGGAGCATACTATAATGGTAGTGAGTTTGTCAGCCATCTTTGATTTATTTTGTCACCTTTGCATCATTTATAACATTTTTAGTATATTTTCTGTATATTGTAATAAAAAGAATAGATGAAATCAGTTCTAATATACATTATTTAGGTATGCATAGTGGTCAAAGAGCCCGCCGTAAGTCCAAGGTATCGGTAAACAAGTACGTCGCTAAGTGAGGAGAGGCTGTACAGCCTCTCCTCCACAGCTTATAAGGCTTGTTTTAGTTTCAATGGCTCGGCATCAGACGTAACTGGGAGAGCTACAGCCCACCCCACACCCCAAACTTGTAGCCCCCATCACTGACCTTCAGTTTACAGGATGCAGGCTGGTTTTAGGAGACATTTTATGGAAAAAATGTATCTAATAAGCTGCAAAATATGGTACTTTGCATACAAATCAAGTACAGGGACCTCCCGTATCTTCGGATTTGGTTTCCAGTTTCAGTTATCCACGGTTTACCATGGCACAAAGATAAACCTTAATTTTGCTTAATAACGGCCCCAGACCACAAAAGTAGTGATAGTGGCAGCTCTTTAAGGCCTAAGAGAAGCCACAAAGTCTTGACCATCGGTGAAAAAGTGCGAATTCTGGAATTACCGTGTAATTTATCAATGAACTTTATCATAGGTATGTATGCAAATGAAAAATGACTTACGATAGTGGCTTTCTTTGTACTTGACTAATAAAAATTGTAAATACGGTGGTACCCCAAGTTTCGTACAGCTCCCAACTCGAACAATTATGTAAGTGTATTATTGTAAGTGTTTTTGTAAGTATATTTTTGGGGGTCAGAAACAGACTAATCAAATTTACATTATTCCATATGGGAACAAATTCGTTCGGCAATGGCACTCAAACAGCCTTCTGGAGCGAATTATGGCCGAAACTCAGGGTACCACTGTACACATTGTAACCTCGCAAAGAAATAAAATCTTTATATATAAGGGTCGCTACTATCTGCATCTTCGGGCATCCGTGGTAGGCCTTGGAACGTATCCCCCCATGGATACGGAGGGACTATTGTATGACATCGTAGCAGTACCAGCAAAGTTGTACAATAATGTACAGTAGGACCCCCATATCTGCGGAGGATAAGTTCCAAGGACCTGCCATGGATACTGAAACCAAGGATAGTAGCACACACTATATTTAAGTTCTAAACATACCTACTATAAAGTTTAATTGATAAATTATACACAGTAAGTGGAGAATTATCACTTTCGCTGATTAGGAAGCACTTCACTGCTTCTCTTAGGCATTGAACACCTGTCAGTTTCTCTAGTTTTGTGATCTGCGACCAATGTTATACAAAATTAAGAGTTATTTTTGGGCCATAGAAAACCATGGATAAAACTGAAACTACGGATATCAAATCAGTGGATATGGGGGTTTTACTGTACCGATATTTGACGTACCACAGTGACGATGGCCACACATGCATCTGTAGCGATAGAGGGCAATCCTTTGCCGCTTTCTGCACGAGAGGAACGCAAGGTATTTGTGTCTATTGGAGCCATGCTCCACATAGTATGTCGACGACATGGTGCCCATCTTGGCCGAGTGTTTGCCCATGTCTGTGCCTGTGGTGGGTACTGCCCAAGCTTGCAGTGGTGGATACTGCCTAAGCCTGCATGCAATGATGGGTACTGCCCAAGCTTGCAGTGATGGGTACTGCCCAAGCTTGCAGTGATGGGTACTGCCCAAGCTTGCAGTGATGGGTACTGCCCAAGCTTGCAGTGATGAGTACTGCCCAAGCTTGCAGTAGTGGGTATTGCCCAAGCTTGCAGTGGTGGGTACTGCCCAAGCTTGCAGTGATGGGTACTGCCCAAGCTTGCAGTGATGGGTACTGCCCAAGCTTGCAGTGGTGGGTATTGCCCAAGCTTGCAGTGGTGGATACTTCCCAAGCTTGCAGTGGTGGATACTGCCCAAGCTTGCAGTGATGGGTACTGCCCAAGCTTGCAGTGGTGGATACTGGCCAAGTTTGCAGTGGTGGGTATTGCTTAGGCTTACACAGGTGGTCACTGCTAATTATTTTCAACAAAAGCAAGTCTTATAACACCTGTCAGCTATGGAACCTGCAGACAGTACTGCCATCTTGTGCCAATAGGCTGCCTAGAACAAGACACGATCGACCAGACGCCACACAAGGCAGGCAACAAAGATGACAACAATCATCACCACCGTCGCTATGAAGCAACCTGAACACATTTTACAGAGGGGTAAAATGACCGTACTACACACGGCATGTACTCGTTAATGATGCCTGGCTATAAGTTTTGCCACCTCGTTCGCAAAAGTTAGAGCGCGAAGGGGCCAACACGGCCTTCGTCATCGTCGCTTCGTCTCTTTCTGTCAGAACAGCTGGCAGGTCTGCACTTAGAGGTCATCCTTGGAAGCAAAGCTTATAATACAATTAGCCTTAGTGTGGAAGAGGGGATGAGAGTGAGAGGAGAAAGGGAGGAAAGAGGAGGAGGAAGAGGATGGTAGAAAGGGAGGAGAAGATAGGAGAGGAGAGAGGTGAACAGTGACAGCAGGTGTAAAGTGACTAAAACCCAGGTACCTACTTACTGCTAAGTGAACAGTGACAGCAGGTGTAAGGTGACTAAAACCCAGGTACCTACTTACTGCTAGGTGAACAGTGACAGCAGGTGTAAAGTGACTAAAACCCAGGTACCTACTTACTGCTAGGTGAACAGTGACAGCAGGTGTAAAGTGACTAAAACCCAGGTACCTACTTACTGCTAGGTGAACAGTGACAGCAGATGTAAAGTGACTAAAACCCAGGTACCTACTTACTGCTAGGTGAACAGGGACAGCAGGTGTAAGGAAACATGCCCAACGCTTAACCTGTGCCGGGAATCGAACCCAGGTCCCTCAGTGTGCGAGCTGAGGACACTACCAATATACTTGTTCCTTGTATTGTGTTCCTGTGTTGTGTTGCAGTGTCCCTGGAAGAATTTAAACTACAAGTTAATGTCTGTACCAAGTGTTCACTCTACACAGAGGTACTGTAATAAGTGTCCTCTATACACAGAGATGCACTATAGTAAGTGTCCTCTATACAGAGATGCACTGTAAGTGTGAATATTTAAACTATATTTTGTGGACAAAATCCACACATAAATCTTAAATTTCCAAAAGCAAAAACAAATGCTAAATTGTCATACATTTCCGTACATTTAAAACTAATACAGTGGAACGTAGGTATACGACCAGCTCCCTACTCGACTGTTACGGTCCTCTGCCAAACTAGCGGTTAAATAGTTAACCTGCCAGCCGGCAGTACCACTGGGTACGTCATCAAACCCAATGTGGGGACTGCTGAGCCGGCTTTAGAAGCAGTAAGTACCTAAACACCTCACGGTACGCATCTAAGCAGTAACTACCAGAACACCTTACGGTAGACATCTACTGGCAGTAGAGTATTCGTCTGACCGTCTTAATATATATATCTATGCTAAAATAATAAATTACAAATAACATTTGTACAATAATAAATTTCAGTCAACTTCGTGTCTCACGACACCCAATTAGTGTTTTTGTAATATCGACCAAACTAATACGACCTGCCAGAACTTCTCCGTAAACTATTTTGTGTTTCTTCGTATTTTTTGGCGCTTTCTCGTATTACAGTGGTACCTCGGGATCCAAACAGCTCAAAACGCGAGCAATTATGTAAGTGTATTTGTGTGTTTTTGTACGTGTATTTTTGGGGGTCTGAAATGGATTAATCTAATTTTCATTATTCCTCATGGGAACAAATTCGTTCAGTATTGGCACTTGAACAGTGTTCTGGAACAAAATAAGTTTGGATCCCAAGGTACCACTGTATTTGTACAAGTAAGTCACCATGGGGCATACGATGATTGGTGATAACAGCCAACCAAACAGAAAACTGGGCGGGAAGAAATTGTTTGGTAATTAAAAGGAGCGGCAATCGAACAGCCTTCTGGAATGAATTAAGGTCGTATACGGACAATCCACTGCATTAAATAACCTTTGTCTGGTTCCTAAGTAATTTATAAGCTTTAGGATCATTCTGTTTGTGATACACCACATGGTATACCTGAAGTATACCTGGAGGGCATTCAGGGGATCAAACCCCTGGCCTGGTCCATGACCAGGCCACTGGAGGCAGTTGAACAGTCTTGGGCCCCTGACACTTACTGTATTGTCTCTTAGTCGTAGTGGTTTCCTTTTGCAACTACATTACCCGTATATGTACTTGTATACAGGTAATGTATACGTATCTGTATCTGAGTAGCCAATGACAGTAAGGAATTTATACATACAAATGCTTCTTGTTTTACAAAGGTTTGACTTGCAGCAGTTTAGTTTATGATGGTGCGACAACAATTAATGTTACGCTTCACGACATTCTTCCTGATTGGTGTGCTTTGAACTGACTACATTAATGACTTTTTGAAGACAACCAGGGGTCTTGAAGACAACCAGGGGTCTTGAAGACAACCAGGGGTCTTGAAGACAACCAGGGGTCTTGAAGACAACCAGGGGTCTTGAAGACAACCAGGAGTCTTGAAGACAACCAGGGGTCTTGAAGATAACCAGGGGTCTTGAAGACAACCAGGGGTCTTGAAGACAACCAGGGGTCTTGAAGACAACCAGGAGTCTTGAAGACAACCAGGGGTCTTGAAGACAACCAGGGGTCTTGAAGACAACCAGGGGTCTTGAAGACAACCAGGGGTCTTGAAGACAACCAGGGGTCTTGAAGACAACCAGGGTCTTGAAGACAACCAGGGGTCTTGAAGACAACCAGGGGTCTTGAAGACAACCAGGGTCTTGAAGACAACCAGGGGTCTTGAAGACAACCAGGGTCTTGAAGACAACCAGGGGTCTTGAAGACAACCAGGGATCTTGAAGACAACCAGGAGTCTTGAAGACAACCAGGGGTATTGAAGACAACCAGGGGTCTTGAAGACAACCAGGGGTCATGAAGACAACCAGGAGTCTTGAAGACAACCAGGGGTCTTGAAGACAACCAGGGGTCTTGAAGACAACCAGGGTCTTGAAGAACAACCAGGGGTATGAAGACAACCAGGGTCTTAAAGGACAACCAGGGGTCATGAAGACAACCAGTCTTAAACAACCAGGGGTCTTGAGACAACCAGGGGTCATAAGACAACCAGGGTCTTGAAGACAACCGGGGGTCTTAAAGGGCAACAGGGTCTTGAAGACAACCAGGGGTCTTTAGACCGGGTCATGAAGCCGGGGTCGAGTTACCGGGTCCTGAAAGAAAAAGGGTTTTTCCTTGGACCCCAGGGTTTGAACCTCAGGGGCTTAAAGCCAGGGGTTGAAATCCCTCTGTTACATTGAGGAGTTTTACCTGGACTTAACTTTGGTTTCCCTGACAATTATTGTTTTGTTTTCAGTGTACCTGCACCTGCTGACATTGCCAGATTGTGCATTATTTTAACTTTTTCCTGCAGTTGGGGAGGTTCCGGGACCTTCAACCTAGCCATTTCCTAGTGTATTTTCCTCCTGAGTTTGGGGTGTTCCTGGGTTAATTTGTACCTGAGTGTAAAGGATTGAAACCTGAGTGTGAGGTTGTATCCTGGTAGTGTACCTGAGTGTGAGGTTGTATCCTGGGTAGTGTACCTGAGTGTGGGTTGTATCCTGGGTATTTGTACCTGAGTGTGAGGTTGTATCCTGGGTAGTGTACCTGAGTGTGGGGTTGTATCCTGGGTAGTTTACCTGAGTGTGGGGTTTGTTTTCCTGGGTAGTGTACCGAGTGTGGGTTGTATCCGGGGTAGTGTACCTGAGTGTGGGTTTATCCTGGGTAGTGTACCTGAGTGTGAGGTTGTATCCTGGGTAGTGTACCTGAGTGTGAGGTTGTACCCTGGGTAGTGTACCTGAGTGGAGGTTGTATCCTGGTAGTGTACCTGAGTGTGAGGTTGTATCCGGGGTATTGTACCTGAGTGTGGGTTGTATCCTGGGTAGTGTAACCTGGTGTGAGGTTGTATCCTGGGAGGTACCTGAGGTGGGGTTGTACTGGGTATGTACGAGTGTGGGTGATTCCTGGGTAGTGTACCGAGTGTTGGGGTTGTATCCTGGGTAGTGTACCTGATGTGGGGTTGTATCCTGGGTAGTGTACCTGAGTGTGGGTTGTATCCTGGGTAGTGTACCTAGTGTGAGGTTGTATCCTGGGTAGTGTACCTGAGTGTGGGTTGTATCCTGGGTAGTGTACCTAGTGTGAGGTTGTACCCTGGGTAGTGTACCTGAGTGGGGGGTTGTATCCTGGGTAGTGTACCTGAGTGTGGGTTGTATCCGGGGTATGTACCTGAGTGTGAGGTTGTATCCGGGGTAGTGTACCTGAGTGTGGGGTTGTATCCTGGGGTAGTGTACCTGAGTGTGAGGTTGTTATCCGGGGTAGTGAAACCTGAGTGTGAGGTTGTATCCTGGGTAGTGTACCTGAGTGTGGGGTTGTATCCTGGGTAGTGTACCTGAGTGTGAGGTTGTATCCTGGGTAGTGTACCTGAGTGTGGGGTTTTGTATCCTGGGTATGTACCTGAGTGTGGGTTGTATCCTGGGTAGTGTACCTGAGTGTGAGGTTGTATCCTGGGTAGTGTACCTGAGTGTGGGGTTGTATCCTGGGTAGTGTACCTGAGTGTGGGGTTGTATCCTGGGTAGTGACCTGATGTGGGGTTGTATCCTGGGTAGTGTACCTGAGTGTGGGGTTGTATCCTGGGTAGTGTACCTGAGTGTGAGGTTGTATCCTGGGTAGTGAAACCTGAGTGTGAGGTTGTATCCTGGGTATGTACCTGAGTGTGAGGTTGTATCCTGGGTAGTGTACCTGAGTGTGAGGTTGTATCCTGGGTATGTACTGAGTGTGGGGTTGTATCCGGGGTAGTGTACCTGAGTGTGGGTTTACCCGGGGTAGTGTCCTGGTGTGAGGTTGTATCCGGGTAGACCTGAGTTGAAGGTTGTATCCTGGGTAGTGTACCTGAGTGTGGGTTGTATCCTGGGTATGTACCTGAGTGTGGGTTGTATCCTGGGTAGTGTACCTGAGTGTGGGGTTGTATCCTGGGATGTACCTGAGTGTGGGGTTTGACCCTGGGTAGTGTACCTGAGTGTGGGGTTGTATCCTGGGTAGTGTACCTGAGTGTGAGGTTGTATCCTGGGTAGTGTACCTGAGTGTGGGGTTTGTATCCTGGGTAGTGTACCTGAGGGGTGAGGTTGTATCCTGGTATGTACCTGAGTGTGATTTTTGTATCCTGGGTAGTGTACCTGAGTGTGGGTTTTTATCCTGGGTAGTGTACCTGAGTGTGGGTTGTATCCTGGGAAGTGTACCTGAGTGTGAGGTTGTATCCTGGAGTGTAC